ATTATTTTGTGACTTTGTTGATGTTTTGCTCTTTTGTGTGACTTTTTAGTTACATTGAGTTTCTTTTTTTTTATACATTTTTTTAAAGATATATCGTGATCGTACTTTGTGTCCTTTGGATGTTTTTGTGTCACTGTTTTGTATCTTTTTAAAAATGTTTATTTTGTAGATATTTTGTGTTTCTAATTAGTTACTTGCATAATCTTCAGGCTTATTATCTGCAGCCAAGAGAAGTCTGCTTTGGTTTGTGAATTAAAAGTTAAAAGCTGCTTTATTCAGCATTATAATTCAGAATAATAATTAAGTAGAGATTAAGTGAAAATACACAACAAAAGAACAAAAACCTCGAAGGTGCTGTGGGGAATGCAAGTGCATTCAGGAACATGTTCTTAAGTACTAAGTGCAAAAAAACATCCTTTCTTTGTTCATTGTTGTGTTGCATCGGTAACATTTTTATTAGTGTTAAGTGCACTTGTGCAGAATCAGACATTAAAGAGGAGAACCTCTTTAAATACAAAAAACACTCATCACACTGCTTCAGTATGACTAGACAGGGAATGATCAGGGAAAAGACAACACATAGGGATGTCATTTAGTTTTTACCTAAAGCTGCAAACAATAAGGCTGCAGCAGCACCAAAGAGTCCTGCAGTAGCCACCGCAGCCAGTCCAGCACCTTCGATTGAGGTGTTTGATGTCTGGATTGGCTGGATGATTTTGATGATCTGGATTCGACTGGGATCCCAGACGCAATTCTCCTCCAAACCGCTTGACACCATTCCACAATTTGGTGGCACCCAGGCGGTGTCAAACACCTCCCCATATCTGGAGTCATGCCAGGTTTTCTGGCGTGGGTGGCCCTGACGATTGATGGCGATCACTTTCCCCACATTGACCACAACCTTAATGACGACCCTGTCATACTCAGGGTGACCAATGGGATAGCGGCTGGCTTTATCCAGGTCTCTGCTGAGGTAGACTCCAGGGCCGAGCATCCCATCCGTAGACCGACCAAAACCTGTGGCCTGGATGGATTGAGCAGCCTGCCTGGTGGTGCCGTGGTACATGACGTACCTTTTACCACTGACCGGCTGAGAGAGACCAAGTTGAGTGACGCCATACGGCAGACCACCATCATCCTCAGCCCACTGGTACGGCATGCTGGTGTCAGTATCACTGTAAGAAAGAGGAATATTTTATCAATCAGTTTTTATTAATACAGAGCCAAACTGATTTTTTTAACTATCACTGGAATAGTCAAAAAAATCCCCCTCTCCTCCCCTCCCCTCCCCTCTCCTGGTATCTCCACCCATGGACTCCACCCCCAGCCTGGGGAAAAAACTTTTGCACACGTCCGCCATTTTTATTCTTGCTACAGAGGAGTGATGTCTACCGGGAAAACTCAGGGGGCGGGGCTCATTGTATTTAAAAAGACACACACCAAAACGGAGTGTTCTGAGAGAGCTGGTTTATACAGGGTCACAAACCTCCTCTGGTGCTTGATTCATGTTATATTTTGACCAAAGTACAGCACAGATGTTTCATTTAGACCACAGGGGACTGTTTGAAAAGGTGGAGGAGGGGGAGAATATTCCTCTTTAACTATGTTCTAGAACAATCCTACAAAGAAACACAAAACTTGGAGTGGAGACTGGGAAAAAAAACAAAACGTGTGGTTACGTGAAACAATATTAAAATGTTTGATTTTAATCAAACATTTTAAGATTTGGCAAGTTTTTCATGGGTGCAACCCACTTACTCAGCTCTGCTGCTCATCCCACAAATGTATGTTCCTTACAAATGTTGCACCATTTAAAAGGGAAATAAACAGGCTTTCCAACAGCATAAGATTTATTGCCAAGAAGCATTGTTACAACAACAAAATAATCTACCAAACACAAATGTCCTTACTTTTTGTGCGATGTTTATGTTTATGAAAATCCAAACCACTTCCTCCGGGGCGTCGGTTTGTGAGTGGTTAAGGGCCCATGTACAGAGGTTTTAATCCTCAAAGCAGATGGCCTGAGTTTGAATCAGACCTGATGCTCCTCCCTGCATGTCGTTCCCCACTCACTCTCTCTCTCCCCTCTCCCCAAGTTACAACTCTATCCACTGTCCTATCTCATAAGAAAGGCATCAAAGCCTGTTGTTTCGGATTTGTTTTTTGTGTGTGAAAAATGTGAACCCCTGCTGCCCCTTGTGGCTGACATTTTAAAATCTTCATTTAAGAAAAACAGGCGCTTTAGCCTCTCGAACGACTTCAAAAACATGAAGCTGATTTAGTTCTCCTCTCATTTCCTGCTTTAAATGCTGTGAAGGAAATCATTAACCTCCACCCCGCTTCACTTTTTATATTCATGATCATGTGGTTTTCATTCGGCAGAAATAATTTTAAATGAAAAGAAAGTAAGAAATAAAACATCAGTTGCTGTTATCAAGGGGTTAATAGATTAAAAAAAGTAGTTGACATATCTGGAACAGCCCTCGCTCTCCTCATATTTATCAAAAAGTCAATGTCATATTCAGAATATCTTTCTGTAAACACTTCTCAGGAATAAGCGGATTTCATTCACTTACCTCTCTGAGAGTTCTTCCACGACTTCTCTCTCTGACTTCCTTCAGCTGTGTTTAACGCTGTTGAGCTGCGAGGGGAGTTTTTAGAGGAAGGTATGCACACTTTCACTTTCTATATCCTGTTGTAAACTGTTATTTGAGTTGGTTTACACCCAGGAAGAAACTTAGCAGCCGTGATGTGAGTTGACTTTCTTGTAAATGGATCAACGACCTCAGGAGGCTTTTTTAAAAAATCAGTTTTCTGCTTTTTAGTTCCTTTTGTGTTTCTTTTTTAATCATTCTGTTTCTCTCTCTGTTATTTTTATATTACTTTGTTCTGCCCTTGTTTATGTTTTGAGTTTCTTTCCGATGACTTTGTGATTGTTTTTAAAAAATATATTTGTGACTATTTGTGAGCTAAGGTGTTGATGTCACACCGCTCCGCTTTGAAGCAGACGCTCACGGTTGTTCGTTATGTTTCCTCTCTCTGTTTCTGATAACCTGCTGCACACAGGTCCGAACAATAAGGTCTTACACCTGCTTTTTGGCCTTGTCATTTGGCACTATACAAATATGTATTTATTGATTGAGCGCTGCAGGAGCCTCATTTGTCAACAGAGCTGTCACTCATTATACTCCATTTTATAGAATCAAATAATAACTAAAAATGAAACTTCTCAGAAAAGGAGGGAGGACTTGAACCCAAATCAGCATGATAATAACAAGCTAGCAGACAGAAACAGGGTTTGAGAAAACTTTTCTTGACCTGTATTTTCATTTTAAAGTTCGCCCCATGTCCCAATTGATAACACAAAGGAGGCCGAGCTTATGACCTATACTGCAGCCGGTCAGTAGATGGAGCTCTAAATCTGCTTGGCTTCACTTTGAGGGAGGTGTTGTCCAAAACGCTGGACGCATCCCACACCCCTGATCAGTGTGAAAATTTCACCCCCCCCCCTCATCAAGAATGGAAATTTCCCCCTCAGAGTCTGAATCATACATTATTATCTCCTTACTTGGCAGTAGAGGCCCTGATCTCTCAGGAAGCTGGTGCTCTTGTTGCAGTTTCTTGAAATATCTTTTCTTTTGTCTTGTTTCCTGTGCAGGCGAGCTGTGAAAACCTCACAGGAAGCAGGCGCATTTTAAAGAGCTCATATTCTGCCCTTTTTGGGGTTCATATATTTGATCTATGTACCTACTAAAGTATGTTCACAATAGCAAAAGTTATAAAAAAAGTGTCTGTTTTCATGAACTGCCGCTCCATGCACCGGCTCTCTTCTGACTCTCTCTCTAAGGCTCTGAAGTGCCCACGTTCAGAGTCCCCACGTGTGCCAAGTCTGATCTGATTGGTCGGCCTGTCGGCTCTGCCGTAATTGGTCAGTCACTCAGCACGGTTCTCTGAAATGTCACGCCCCTTTTACCACATTGGGAATGCAGCCACTGGCTCCGTCCGAGGGGAGCATAAACATTAGCACCTTAGCACTACTGTGCTACCGCAGACTACAGCATATCGTGGACGTGCTACAGAAGTTAACGGCATGCAACATGAGCTGCTGGGCCACAACGAGCCAATGGGCTTAGATCAGTGATCTCACACTGACAATGACGTAAGACTGGCAAATTACATACAGCTAACAGGAGGACGTAGGAGAAGCCACGTTTCCGCGGACTTTTGCACATAGATGTGACTAAACATGAACAGGACACTTGGAAAACACACTAAAGAGCATATAAAACCAGAAAATGCATAATATGGGCCCTTTAATATCCTGAGTAGAAGTCTGCATGTCCTCAGTATTCTGGATCTGTAAAGTTTAAACTCATGACTGCTATTCAAATACTGTCAGCTGCATCGTGAGCAGTCCCCTTTCCTACTTTTACTGGCATTACCCTGGACTCTAACTTTCTGATGTTTCCTGATTCTGTGGGTGATATAGATGTGTGAGAAAGCTCTGTTTACATCACATGACTCATTTAGCCAATACACATTTTTTTAGAAAGCAGAATGTATGATGTTCTCATAAGCTGTGAAGGTCATACAAGACAGCAGTGCGCTCTTAGTTGTGTAAACAGGTTTTACAGGTCCGTACTGGTTCTGCGGTCCACGTAACCATCCAAATATCATGATCTTTACTGGAGAAACTCGACAGGTTATAATTAATGAAAAGACAGAGCAATGAAATGACAGCACTTTGCATGAAACATTCTTAATCTTTTGTAAAAATTAAAATAGATTGTTCCTTTTTTATTTGGCGCCTCTTGCAGCTAAAATCAGTCATCACTCTGCTTTCAACAGAACAAAACAGCAAACCTGATTTTATGGAACCAATTTATTTTAAGGGTTACATTTGGCAGTGATACAAAATGCAATGTCTTGATTCATTATACAAATATATAAAAATACATTTGACCATTCAAATAAAATTGGTATCATCTCTTAGAGCTCACATGTAGCCTCGTGCACCCCATCCACCCTGGGCTGGGGCACTTGGTTTGATGGCACCATTGATCTTGATTCGACTGGGATCCCAGACACAATCCTCCTCCAAACCACTTGGCACCATTCCACAATTTGGTGGCACCCAGGCGGTGTCAAACACCTCCCCATATCTGGAGTCATGCCAGGTTTTCTGGCGTGGGTGGCCCTGACGATTGATGGCGATCACTCTCCCCACATTGACCACAACCTTAATGACGACCCTGTCATGCTCAGGATGATCGATGGGATAGCGGCTGGCTTTATTCAGGTCTCTGCTGAGGTAGACGCCGGGCCCGAGCATCCCACCTGAAGACTGCTGAAAACCTTTGGCCATGATGGACCGAGCAGCCTCACTGGTGGTGCCGTGGTACATGACGTACTTTTTACCATTAACTGGCGCAGAGAGACCGAGTCGAACGACCCCAGGGGGCAGGTCAAAGTCATTTTCAGCCCACTGCATGATGATGTCTGGATTACTGTCACTGTAAGAAAGAGGATTGTCAATGTTAAAACTTTAGAGGGATGTGAAGAAACTTAATATCAAAGGAATTTAAATCATTCAGGAATCAAGATAGACTTTATTGTCCCCGGAGGGAAAATGTTTCAGTTACAAGAGAATAACAAAATAAAATACATAAATATAGATCGTACAGAACATAGAGCAGACCATGTGACAGTTCTACTTTTAAATAAAAAACACCTTCTTGCAGCAGTGACATATTGGCATAGTGCACAGCCTACATTACTTTTTATTTAGAATATTAATTAGAATTAGAATTATTTTACTGGATCCAAGGCATCACAAAATGCTTTCCATTCTATACAGTATAAAAGATTCTTTGATTGAAGACCTTTATTTAATTAGCAAAACTCTCCCAAAACTTGTAAAACTTGCAACAGTTTTTCTGTGATAATACACCAAAAATAATCAGTCTCTATTCTGTTGTTCATTTTTATTCAGAGAGTTGTCCTAATGGATTGATTTGCAGTCTTCCAGCCCTGACCTGATTATAAAGTTATTCTCCATTATTGAAACTTTATGTCAACTTTTAAAGTGTTCTAATGTTCTGAGTAATTCCTGGTGTGGCTGAAGCTTTACTCTGATGGACAAACAGTTAACAGGAAATCACTTATATATATTTCCTTTGTAAAAAAAAAAAGAGAAAGACTTTATATAGTTAAAAAAAAGAAAAAGAAACGTTTTTCTTATGTTTAATTAACGGTGTGTCCATGTACACGCCTAACAGATGTCATTTTTTCTGCTCAAACAGTAAAAGAAACTTAAGTGTGGGATCACGTACCTCTCGTCTCGCCTGCTCTCTCCAGTGGTGCACGCCGTGAGGTCACTTGTCTTTTATAGGGCACAAGGTTGTAGGAGGGAATAATCATAAATGTTGAGTTCTGCTTTCACTTTCGTTTCACGGTTTGCACAGTTTTATAACTTTCGTTCATCAACAGGATGTATTTATTTAAAAGTTGGCATGCCGCCCTGCCAGCAAGTTTCAGAAAAGTTCTGGGGCTTTTCGCTTGTGACGTCATGAGTATGTTTTTCTGGTCACTGGGTAACAGAGGAGACTTCCCCTCCAAATCTTCTGTTGTTCTATGTTCTTAATTCATGTGTTTATGGAAAGCTTTGCGGCCTCTTCTGTTTAACATGTACAGTAATTTAAGGTGTTCTTATTTGCTTTTTATGTGTTTCAAGCTCCCTGTTTTGACCTCTGCTATTTTAATCCTCTGTGCAGCACTGATGAAGTATGTAAATAAATTCATTGGATTTGATTAAAAATAGTGCAATTACTTCAACTTCTTGTTTTTTGCCACTGAAAGGCTCAGAGTTCCTTCTCTTAAACTCATCCCTAAATGTTTAAATGATCAGGCTCCTCGGGTGCTTGGTGACCTCGTGTCTCCAGGCTCTGTAACATGTGGAAGCTGTAATGTGTCATTTCATTAATATTCACTTGCAGCCTTTTGTGTTCAGGGGATCAACGTGTGGAATGATTTACCTGTAGGGATCCAGACTGGAGTCATTTTAAAACTCAAACTGAAACATTTTTTTTTAGTCTTGTAGTGCGTTCACACTTGGTAACGTTGTCTTTTTTAATGGAACTAAGTTAAGCAGAGAAGAGAGTGATCTATAATCTATCAATAAACTGGTGTTAGGACACGTCTGTGTGAATTTCACGGTGTGCAGATGCTTAGTGACTCTCACGGTCAGAGATAGTGGGCATGGTGTCACGCGTGATACTTATAAGACAGCTCTGGTTATAAAGCTGCTGCATCATGCTCACTGAAAGTTCAGTGTGCGCTGAAAAAAACACTCCGATCACCACCTGCATCACAGTGTGAACTAAAGTCTGCCCTAGTGTTAAAGATTCACCCCGCCACCCATCGTAGTGCGCGTTCTGCCCGCTCGCCTCATAGACTGTAAATATTATGTTCACCTGCCTGGGAGCTGGAGTCTGACGTCACTTTTTTGTGCCGTCCACTTTGCCATTTCGTTTTCGAGTTGGTTTGAATTATGATCACTTTTTAGCACGGCAAGTTTGAAAAGGAAAAGCCAAAGACCTTTTTGTTTTCATTTGAATTCTGTCATACAATATGCATACATAGAGAGTAAAAGTATAATGCAAACTGGATGACTGAATATTCATTTTAAATATAGGTCAAATAATGCATCTATAATCTGAAAGTTAAAACGTGTTTCTGTTCCTGTATTTTCATTTTAAAATTAGATTTTTCATTTGAATTATGATACAGATGTAGCGGGGCATTTTTTGAAAATGATAAAGCAAATGTAATTTTCTTCCTCATTTTAATTTAGTCAAAGAATGTGCACTTTTGAAGTTGAAAACTAAAATTCAAATTAGATAAATTAATCATCATTTTATTTTTTAGTCAAATAATACACTCATTCTGAAATTAAAAAGCATTTCTGTTAATGCATTTGAATTTTCAAATTAGCTTTATCATTTGAATTTTGATCACTAATCGCTTCCATACAAACACACTGCATACAAACATCAAAATAAAAGAGCAAATCTGATTTTATTTAACCAATTTATTTTCCAGGTTGAAATGAAAAAGTATAAAAAAACCCACAATGTCAATTACTTTAAACCAAATTTATAAAGATTCATGAACAATGAAAATGAATTGGTAACAGCATGTACAGCTCACATGTAGCCGTATGCACCGTATCCAGCAGAAGGCTGCATAGGGCGTGGTTTGATGGCACTAATGATCTGGATTCGATTGGGATCCCAGACACAATCCTCCTCCAAACCGCTTGACACCATTCCACATCTGGGTGGCACCCAGGCGGTGTCAAACACCTCGCCGTATCTGTAGTCGTGCCAGTCTTCTGACGCGGGTGGCCCTGATAATTGATGGCGATCACTCTCCCCACATTGACCACGACCTTAATGACGACCCTGTCGTGCTCAGGATGTTTGATGGGGTAGCGGCTGGCTTTATCCAGGACTCTGCTGAGGTAGACACCGGGGCCGAGCATCCCGCCTGCAGACTGCTGAAAACCTGTGGCCATGATGGACCGAGCAGCCTGACTGGTGGTGCCGTGGTACATGACATATCGCCTACCACTGACCGGCTCAGAGAGATCCAGTCGACCAACCCCAAGTGGCAGATCACCGTCATCCTCAGCCCACTGGTACATTTTGTCAATATCACTGTAGGTGAGGAAATAAACAACACTGAAAATATACTGTATGCAGCAGGAATTCAAAATCTTGACTGAAAAGGCTCAGTTTGAAATTATCTATGGTCATATGCATTTTAGATTTTTTTAGTGCAGTCGTAAACAGATTTTTTCTTTAGTACAAGCACACAACATACTTCTGGCTGGTCTGCATATATCGAAGTGGACTAATGCAGTCATGTAAACGTTGGGCCAGGTTCTCATTTCAGGTACCCAGCTGTGAATTAAAAGCTAACTTACAGCTAACATGCTCACTTAGTCAATGCTAACATGCTCACTTAGTCAATGCTAACATGCTCACTTAGTCAATGCTAACATGCTGCTCCTCAACAGGGATACGGTTATAATCATAATCTAGGCTGCTTTCTTGGTTACATTTACTAATAAGCAACAAACACATCGGTGAGCTGCATGTGTGAACATAAAGAGGTCAACTTTTTTCAACCTGACTTCATCAGGACTGTTTCCTGCCCGCCCCCTCGTTCAGTCGGGGTTAATATTACACAACCAGTGGGTGACCATCGTGACAGTTGTGCAGGTAATGAAGCTGCTTCAATTTGTTTTCTGCTAACAATTACACTTTTTTCCACACTTCCTGTTCATCGTACTGAAAATAAAGTGAGTGTGCTCTTCTTTTGGATTGTGGCCTGTAGAAATAGGATTTTATGGACGTCTCCCTCCCTGATTCTTTTATGTATAAATGTATGAAGCTTCATGTGAACAATGGAAATGAATTGGTTACAGCATGTACAGCTCACATGTAGAGGAGTTCATCTAATCCATCAGAAGGCCTGGGGCGTGCCCTGAAATCAGTGGGACAAAATCGAATGATCTGGTTTCGGATGGGATCCCAAACACAATTCGGCTCCAAATTTCTTGACGTCATTCCACATCTGCGTGGCACCAAGGTACCCACCCGGTTCATGTTGTCAGTATCACTGTAGGTGAGGAAATAAACAACACTGAAAATATACTGTATGCAGCAGGAATTCAAAATCTTGACTGAAAAGGCTCAGTTTGAAATTATCTATGGTCATATGCATTTTAGATTTTTTTAGTGCAGTCGTAAACAGATTTTTTCTTTAGTACAAGCACACAACATACTTCTGGCTGGTCTACATATATCGAAGTGGACTAATGCAGTCATGTAAACGTTGGGCCAGGTTCTCATTTCAGGTACCCAGCTGTGAATTAAAAGCTAACTTACAGCTAACATGCTCACTTAGTCAATGCTAACATGCTCACTTAGTCAATGCTAACATGCTGCTCCTCAACATTACATTACCTTACATTTACTAATAAGCAACAAACACATCGGTGAGCTGCATGTGTGAATGTAAAGAGGTCAACTTTTTTCAACCTGACTTCATCAGGACTGTTTCCTGCCCGCCCCCTCGTTCAGTCGGGGTTAATATTACACAACCAGTGGGTGACCATCGTGACAGTTGTGCAGGTAATGAAGCTGCTTCAATTTGTTTTCTGCCAATAATTACACTACTTTCCACACTTCCTGTTCATCGTACTGAAAATAACCGTCTCCCTTCCTGATTCTTTATCATGAAAAGGAAACGCTTAGGAATGAGAAGTAACTGTCCGTAGATGGCAAAGACTTCCTAAAGAGTTTCATATTCATGCTATCCCATGTCAGTGTAAAACACTCTAAATTTCACCGTGCATACATCTATAGACTGTTCTGTTTTTCAGACTGCTTCCCCGTTTTCTAACTCAGGTCTGACTGAACTTTATCGCTCCCTTTTTCTGAGACACGATGTTTTTCCTGCAGCTTCCTGCAGACCTCAGGATGCATCTGTTTTTTATTAGAGAGCTGACAGCTGAGTCAGACATCCAGAAAAATCATGTTTAACTTTAGTCTTAAAAGCAAACTTTATATCTGATATTTAACTAACGGTGTGTCCATGAACACGCCTAACAGATGTCATTTTTTCTGCTCAAACAGTAAAAGAAACAAAAGTGTGGGATCACGTACCTCTCGTCTCGTCTGCTCTCTCCAGTGGTGCACGCCGTGAGGTCGCTTTTGCAGTTTTATAACCTTTGTTCATCAACAGGATGTATTTATGTTTTTCTGGTCGCTGGGTAACAGAGGAGACTTCCCCTCCAAATCTTCTGTTGTTCTATGTTCTTAATTCATGTGTTTATGGAAAGCTTTGCGGCCTCTTGTGTTTATCATGTACAGTAATTTAAGGTGTTCTTATTTGCTTTTTGTGTTTCAAGCTCCCTGTTTTGACCTCTGCTATTTTAATCCTCTGTGCAGCACTGATGTAGTATGTAAATAAATTCATTGGATTTGATTAAAAATAGTGCAATTACTTCAACTTCTTGTTTTTTGCCACTGAAAGGCTCAGAGTTCCTTCTCTTAAACTCATCCCTAAATGTTTAAATGATCAGGCTCCTCGGGTGCTTGGTGACCTCGTGTCTCCAGGCTCTGTAACATGTGGAAGCTGTAATGTGTCATTTCATTAATATTCACTTGCAGCCTTTTGTGTTCAGGGGATCAATGTGTGGAATGATTTACCTGCAGGGATCCAGACTGGAGTCATTTTAAAACTCAAACTGAAACATTTTTTTTTTTGTCTTGTAGTGCGTTCACACTTGGTAACGTTGTCTCACGCGTTTGGTGTTTTCACACATGAAACAAAATTCACTTCCAAGCTGTATGTGATGATTTTTTTGACCCAGAAGTTTCCCTGCAGGCTCCTGTACTAAAATGTCCTCGTGAAGTTCGGCTAAGCTGGTGGTTCCCAAACTTCTGCCAGGGATGAAAATATATTTTCTAGATCCCCCCTCTTCCACCTGTTACATACACTGAAAGATTTTTTCTCATCTTTTTTTCATTTTTTCTCAGTCAACTGCACAGCTCCTACATAGCACCTTTTGTACATCGTGTTTTTTATTTTTTATATTTTCAATTTTTTAATTCTATTTTTTATATTGTAATATCTTCTTATTCTGTATTATTTCAGTTGTTGCTAGTTCTGCTTTATTTCCTTGTTAACTGTTTGGCACCAACACACCAAGTCAAATTCCTTGTATGTGTAAATGTACTTGGCAATAAACCCTGATTCTGATTCTGATCCCTCACCATACACATTATCATATATCAACAAACACTAAACACACATCATCTTCCTCGTAGCATACTCCTTCTTCAGATGCAGCTAGGGTTGCCACCTTCCAAGCAGAAAAATAAAGGACACTCCGCAGTGGGGTGCAACTCAGCAGGGGTCTGACCACCACTGGCCCAACGGTGTGGTGGGGGCACCAGTTGTGGTGTATCAGGATTTAAAACGTGGTTTTAATGAAGTAATAAGAGTCATACTTAAAGTTTTAAGTGCTTTATTAACTAAAATTGAATCAAAATCAGGGCAACAACTAGTTTGGAGCTTGTACCAGCGTTAAAGATTCACCCCGCCACCCATCGTAGTGCGCGTTCTGCCCGCTCGCCTCATAGACTGTAAATATTACGTTCACCTGCCTGGGAGCTGGAGTCTGACGTCACTTTCCTGCGCCGTCCACTTTGCCATTTCATTTTCGAGTTGGTTTGAATTATGATCACTTTTTAGCACGGCAAGTTTGAAAAGGAAAAGCCAAAGACCTTTTAGTTTTCATTTGAATGATGTCATACAATATGCATACATAGAGAGTAAAAGTATAATGCAAACTGGATGACTGAATATTAATTTTAAATATAGGTCAAATAATGCACCTATAATCTGAAAGTTAAAACGTGTTTCTGTTCCTGTATTTTCATTTTAAAATTAGATTTTTCATTTGAATTATGATACAGATGTAGCGGGGCATTTTTTGAAAATGATAAAGCAAATGTAATTTTCTTCCTCATTTTAATTTAGTCAAAGAATGTGCACTTTTGAAGTTGAAAACTAAAATTCAAATTAGATAAATTAATCATCATTTTATTTTTCAGTCAAATAATACACTCATTCTGAAAATTAAAAAGCATTTCTGTTAATGCATTTGAATTTTCAAATTAGCTTTATCATTTGAATTTTGATCACTAATCGCTTCCATACAAACACACTGCATACAAACATCAAAATAAAAGAGCAAATCTGATTTAATTTAACCAATTTATTTTCCAGGTTGAAATGAAAAAGTATAAAAAAAACCCACAATGTCAATTACTTTAAACCAAATTTATAAAGATTCATGAACAATGAAAATGAATTGGTAACAGCATGTACAGCTCACATGTAGCCGTATGCACCGTATCCAGCAGAAGGCTGCCTCGGGCGTGGTTTGATGGCACTAATGATCTGGATTCGATTGGGATCCCAGACACAATCCTCCTCCAAACCCGCTTGACACCATTCCACATCTGGGTGGCACCCAGGCGGTGTCAAACACCTCGCCGTATCTGTAGTCGTGCCAGGTCTTCTGACGCGGGTGGCCCTGATAATTGATGGCGATCACTCTCCCCACATTGACCACGACCTTAATGACGACCCTGTTGTGCTCAGGATGTTTGATGGGGTAGCGGCTGGCTTTCTCCAGGTCTCTGCTGAGGTAGACTCCAGGGCCGAGCATCCCGCCTCCAGACTGCTGAAAACCTGTGGCCATGATGGACCGAGCAGCCTGACTGGTGGTGCCGTGGTACATGACATATCGCCTACCACTGACCGGCTCAGAGAGATCCAGTCGACCAACCCCAAGTGGCAGATCACCGTCATCCTCAGCCCACTGGTACATTTTGTCAGTATCACTGTAGGTGAGGAAATAAACAACACTGAAAATATACTGTATGTAGCAGGAATTCAAAATCTTGACTGAAAAGGCTCAGTTTGAAATTATCTATGGTCATATGCATTTTAGATTTTTTTAGTGCAGTCGTAAACAGATTTTTTCTTTAGTACAAGCACACAACATACTTCTGGCTGGTCTGCATATATCGAAGTGGACTAATGCAGTCATGTAAACGTTGGGCCAGGTTCTCATTTCAGGTACCCAGCTGTGAATTAAAAGCTAACTTAGGGCGCGGTCACACTGGCCATCTGTACCGTGCCGTACTCAAGCACGATTGGCCCCCCGCTGCCCCATTCCCATGCTGGCCGGCCTGGCCCGCGGTCACAATACACAGGAGTATCCGTACTTAAGCACGATTACCTCTAGTACATAACGTCTTCATACAACACATGCATGCTTTATGTTTTTATGAAGCATGCAAAGTTGACACACAGGCGGACGAGAGAGAGAGAGAGAGAGAGAGAAAGGGATGAGCAGTCGAGTCCGCGGCCGGACATCAGAGAACAACACAGAGAACATGACAGCTACGTCTTATATTTTGTCATTTTAGTCAGATACAGACATGAAACTCTGGATTTCTCCAGAATGAAGGCTGTCAGCGTTGTTTACCTGCGTGCTTGTGCTCGTGCATGAAGTGTACCGTGGCTGAGCACGATACGGAGCGGTCACACTGGTCAAACGAACTGGACTTTAGGGTTGAAGCGTGCTTGGGCACGGTACGGATGGCCAGTGTGACCGCGCCCTTACAGCCTACATGCTCACTTAGTCAATGCTAACATGCTGCTCCTCAACATTACATTACCTTACATTTACTAATAAGCAACAAACACATTGGTGAGCTGTATGTGTGAACGTAAAGAGGTCAACTTTTTTCAACCTGACTTCATCAGGACTGTTTCCTGCCCGCCCCCTCGTTCAGTCGGGGTTAATATTACACAACCAGTGGGTGACCATCGTGACAGTTGTGCAGGTAATGAAGCTGCTTCAATTTGTTTTCTGCCAATAATTACACTACTTTCCACACTTCCTGTTCATCGTACTGAAAATAACCGTCTCCCTTCCTGATTCTTTATCATGAAAAGGAAACGCTTAGGGATGAGAAGTAACTGTCCGTAGATGGCAAAGACTTCCTAAAGAGTTTCATATTCATGCTATCCCATGTCAGTGTAAAACACTCTAAATTTCACCGTGCATACATCTATAGACTGTTCTGTTTGAAGCTGCTTCAATTTGTTTTCTAGGATAGGATAGGATAAATCTTTATTGATCCCCAGAGGGGAAATTCGGGCGTTGCAGCAGCACAGACAAGAAAGCTGAAAATAAACATTAAACAGAATAGATAAATAAAAATAAAAACAGGGGGTATATACAAGTACAAAATGAATGATGAAGTTAACTATTCAGGGAGTTGAGACAGTATTTGCAGAGAATGAAAAGATAAAGTGACAAGTGATGATTAAAGTGACTTGGTATGATAAATAGCAGCAAGTAATGTAAACAGCAGAGAAGAGAGGCAGTGTTGTACCACAGTAATGCAGAGTGCAATTATATAATATAATGTAGGATAATATAACGTACTTTTTACCATTAACTGGCGCAGAGAGACCGAGTCGAACGACCCCAGGGGGCAGGTCAAAGTCATTTTCAGCCCACTGCATGATGATGTCTGGATTACTGTCACTGTAAGAAAGAAGATTGTCAATGTTAAAACTTTAGAGGGATGTGAAGAAACTTAATATCAAAGGAATTTAAATCATTCAGGAATCAAGATAGACTTTATTGTCCCCGGAGGGAAAATGTTTCAGTTACAAGAGAATAACAAAATAAAATACATAAATATAGATCGTACAGAACATAGAGCAGACCATGTGACATTTCTACTTTTAAATAAAAAACACCTTCTTGCAGCAGTGACATATTGGCATAGTGCACAGCCTACATTACTTCTTCATCAATTCCTGGTGTGGCTGAAGCTTTACTCTGATGGACAAACAGTTAACGGGAAATCACTTATATATATTTCCTTTGTAAAAAAAAAAAAAGAGAAAGAAAAGTTTTTCTTATGTTTAATTAACGGTGTGTCCATGAACACGCCTAACAGATGTCATTTTTTCTGGTCAAACAGTAAAAGAAACTTAAGTGTGGGATCACGTACCTCTCGTCTCGCCTGCTCTCTCCAGTGGTGCACGCCGTGAGGTCACTTGTCTTTTATAGGGCACAAGGTTGTAGGAGGGAATAATCATAAATGTTGAGTTCTGC